TATATAGGCAAAGTATACGTGCGTATCATAACGCGGGAAAATATTGGAGGATATAAGAGCAAAGGAGATCATGTGATACAATAATTGGAGGCAAGGATGGGAAGGGATATAGAGTGCAAGATGAATCATTTAACTGTGCTATTGGTTTAAACAAGAACACGTATTAACATGCATTAAAACACAGTAATATTCCTTATTACAATTATATCTATGAATAAAATGTAAATACATATCCTTTCACGACAAAGGGAATTGCTTCTCCCTGAAATTTTAATCCAAAACAAAGAAATTAATTCTTCTTTGGTACTTCTCGCTTTTCAGCGACATCATCTTTCCCTCATGGTAATTTTTAAAAGCTGATGAATTCACATCAATGAGAAGAATTAAATTTTGATAAATATGAAATATGATTGAATTATTAGAGTAAAAAGTTTTAATTATTAATTACTTGCTAATAATTTGATATAATCATTAGTAAAATTTTTTTTAATTTCATTACAGGTAAATAATGAAGTTATGATAATGTAAATAATGAAAATAATGAATTTACGGTTAATAATGAATTTATGATATCGTACCTTTTTTAAATCATATATAAAATAGGTGAATTGATTTTTCAGAAAAATCAACATCTTTCAAAAAGATAATAGCAATGGAAACGGATGAAAGAGTTCAGGAATTCACCGTCCAATGTTTGGATGATGGATTCAATGCGACATTTAAATTTCTTAAATCATTTGGTGGAATTATCACTGTCCGAAGTATATCATTTTTTCACTCAATTTTTTCTCTACTTTTTTCAACTGGAAAAAAACTTAGTGTTGATTAGTGTTCATAATTTGTGAAAGAGAATTAGAAAAAATTCTTTTATAATTTATCAAATCATTATAATTTATCAAATCATTATAATTTATCAAATCATTATAATTTATCAAATCATTATAATTTATCAAATCATTTCTTCAAATGCAAATAAAAAAAGATTGGATTTTTGCCTCATTCTTTTCTGTTATTTTCATCTCCTAAAGATTTTTGATAATTTGTCTTTTATTTTCGCATTAATTACTAAAATAAATCTGATTTTTTCAGGTAAAAATGCGACGAAAAATTGTTCGAAAGTTATTCAAGCGGAACAATTCGGTGAAGATATTGAAATTCGTGAAGTCCATTTCTTCATTAATTTTAAGCAGTGTGGTGTGGAAGAAACGATATCGGTAAGGCTTTCTATCAAGTTGATAGGATCATTTGATGGGTTGAAATTTATCACTGTCACCAATATAAAATAGTAAAGAGAGGGGTCGTTTGAGCGGACTGTCATAGTTGATACAAATTCCATGCAAATTTTTGAACAGATGTTTAGTTTTAAAAAATTAGCAGCACTGTCTATAAGTTAAACATGTCATATCATTGTTATCATTCAGTTATGACAACAATTGATCAATGGTGATAGAATGATTATATGGATTCTATTCATGTTTATCTTTTATTATCTGCATTGTTGTACTTTATTTAGTTTTATCTGAAGTTAGCTGCTTTTCATAAATGAATTACAAAATTAATTTGAACCCACAGGTAAATGCATCGGAGACGAATTATTTGGCACTGGTCAATGTAATCCACGACAAATGGTTAGTAAGTGGCGCAGATGAGGGATTTGTTGTACAGTGCTATCAACCTCAGCAATCACAATCACAAGAAGAAAATTTGCACACTGATTTGACCTTACAGGGGTTAGGACAATTTTTTTTACTTTATTCATTTGTGCAATTGTATGGCTGAATGCAAATATAAATGAAATACTTCCGTTAAAAATTTAAGTGTACTTATAATTTCCTCAAAAAGTTTTTGACCAAAATTTTTTTAAAAATCTTTAGTGATAGCAAAATAGCGAAAATATTTCCGCTTAATTCGATACCGCCATTATGCAATTATTCAATTCGAGCAGGTACGTCAAACGGACCGGTTATTCAGTCCGCCAAACTTGGTGATACTGTTTATCACAAATGGGAATGTGAACATAATCATCGTACGTTTTTTTTTTTAAAATTATTTTAAAAAAACTTTGTAGCATTAATCATGAGACATTTTAATGTTTTTTCAATTGTATAAATTGGAAACAAGCAGTTATCATTCGAACAGCTGACCTTTAATTAGGTATTTTGATAATATAATTAGCAATCTCAAGTTCTTTAAGTCTGCGCTAGAAAGTATTGTTTTTAATCCATTCTAACTTATGAAACAAAGAAATCGAAAATTTTCATTAATAGAAAAAAATGAAAATGTAGTAATCGAAATAAACATTTTTAATTCAGTTTTTCCCAGCAAAATTTTAAATAAGAATCACTAAATTTTTCTAATTCTTTATAATTCATTTAAACTGTACTTTTTTAGAGAAAGTAAAGAAATAGTATTTGGTTTAAAATTAAAATATTTCAGGAACATCAGATTTGTACGGACTTCATATCCATGATTGTTATGTTGAATCAGAGATCAAACAAAAACATATCATTATTGATAGAAATGGGTATAAAAATTTTTTGTTTTCACAAATTATCAAATTTAGTATAAAATACTACTAAAAATTTCAGTTTATTTTTTCAAATTTGAAAAGACTTTAGAAATTTGAATAAAATGTTTCTTTTTTTAAATGTATTTGTAATAAGACTTTTAACAACAAACATAAATTTTGAAAGTTCCTTTTAATAAATATTTTATAATAAGGCTCTTCCCTGTTTTTAAAATATTTTTTGAATGAGAATGAAAAATTGTTCATGTGGAAAATACTGTTTCCTTGTTTTTAAAAAAATATTTTAAACTGAGTGAGAATGAAAAATATTTTCAGTTGTAGTGCAGATGCAAATATTGTTAATGATGTGATATACTCCGATGACAAACTTATAGCATTTGCGCATGTCAAAGTTTTTAAGCTTATCAATTCGGAACATTTATCATTTCATTGCAAACTCAGTTTATGTATCAAAAAAGCGGATGGCTGTGAAGGAATTACAGTAATAAATTTCGTCAACTTTTTTTAAAAATTATTTATTGTAACAACAAATAACTCAACTAAACTCAATTTAATATGTTAAGATGTTGATATAAATTTGACGACTTACAAAAAAAAACTTTCTGAAGCTTTGTACTAATTTTTTTAATATTTTAACCTAAATCTAAAATTTTTTTTTGAATAATGGTTTAAATTGGAAGTTTTTGTCCGAAAAAATTGGCGAATATATATTGCAAAAAATATTTTCCAACTCTTTTATAGCATATTAATAATTGATTACGTATATAAAACAAATGTTTGCTATTTGATATTATGCTGAATTTCAAATATTGAATAAAAAAGTCCATGCAAAAAAGAAATTGTGATATTTAATTTTTTCTTTTAAATAAAAAAAAACCTCATAAGGGACGTATTTACAGCCCTTTCGATGTCCACGTACTGGTCACAATGATTTATTTGTTTATCATCGGAATAGCCATAACACGGAATCTATTTTGACTGCACTAACTGTTCAAGAAGAAGTGAAATTTACTGTTATTCTACCCGTGAATGCTAATGATTCAGCTTTTTCACTTCAAAACATTAAAAAACTATCAAATACAAATTTATTTTGGTTGGTGGTCATCCTGATTGTTTTATTTGCTATTGTCATTTTCATGCTTATCAGGTTACAATTTTAATTTTGAATTTTGAATTTACTACTACTATTATTTTCATTTGAAACTAGTCAACATTATTACAGTTATACATATTTAATAATTCCAATGTATAATTATTACTTTTAAAATATTTAATTCCGATGCATGCAAACATATATATCGAAAATGTCTAAAATTCAAATGAAAAATATTCTTAATTGCTTGCTTCATTTTAATTCCTATGCATTTTTAGATACATTACTAAAATGAATGGTAAGGATGAATTTATAGCCTCAGAAAGTTTCAAAAGACATGAAAATATTGACTATATTACATCTACCGTATCCATAAACGAAGACAGTTTATCTCCGATGGATGAAGGAATGGAAGAGCGGAATGATATCTGCTATGGTACATTACAGTCAGGAAAAGACAGAGGTAAAAAAATAAAAACTGAAATCGTTTCTTTAAGTTTAAATTCAATTTACGATGAAATTAAACTGATCAACAAGTATGACTCTCTATGTGGTACTGTACTCGCAACAGCATCTCTTTATGTCCACCACAATCAACATGATGGATCCTCTTGGTCACTCTAATATTGCAAATTATTGTATATCTCTCTCTTTTTTTTAAATATATTATCAATTGGCTTATTTGTTAAAATATTCCGCAATTGAAATATCTTTCGAAAAATATTAACAAAAAGGCATTTTTATGTGATTTTATCAGTCCATTTCATTTATCTTTTGTATTTATCTGTTAATCGAGAAGGAAGGAATGAGGAGAAGAAAGGTGCTGTTTTTAGGTAATGTTTCTTTAGAAAGTGATCATAATGCCTCTACTAAAAACTTTTAAAAATTAATTGATTAGCAGCAAAAAGTGTAGAATTTTCATCGAGTAGCTGCTATCACAAAGGATCTTAGAATTGCTGTATAATTTTTTTTAAGTTGTTTGAAATAATTAATAGTATTGTAATATAGAATTGGAAAGTTTCTTTTATTCAAAAATATTATGGTAAATATTCATGAATTATAGAGAAACGATTTTTTCAAAAACCGAGTAAGTTTGAACAAAATGGTTATTAACAAATAGAATGGATTTTACAAAATATCTCAATCCCATTTCCATCCTCCATGGTGCAGTGAATGATGACCGCCATGATGTGGATGATGATGATGATGATGATGGAAATATCCGTGGTGCCACGGGAAGTGTCCATGATGGTGATGATGATGATGCCATGGCTCATCCCAGTCATCGTCCCACCAGCCAGACGCTGTCACCGACACTGCCAACACAGCTAACAGTAATGTTGAAGCAAATCGTACTGATATCATATCTGCAACACGTTTTATGATGATTCCATTCGGTGATTGATCATCGAAAGAAGGGGCAGCAATAGAGAGACTTACTGAATATGCTTCCAGAAGAGGTCTTCTGTTCTTTGAGGTTGCTATGAGGAGGTTCTGCAAAGAGATGCTTTATATAGCAAACATTGAAACAGGCTTAGAATTGGGTCGATGGGGAAGAATTTTTTATAACTTCTTGTCTCACCACAATTCTCCCACCCCGTCC